CAGAATAATGAATACCTGAAACAATGTTTATATGTTAATACTGTCATATCGTTTCCAGTAAATAAAATTTTTAAAGTATGCAAATTTACAGTAATCAGCTATGTAAATCTTTTTGCTCAGTACAAATATATTCTAAAGGCTTTCCAAAGAAATACATTCCCATTTGCTTTTTCAAATACCTCCTTCTACTTACATTCAGATTTTAACATTACTCCCATTAGAAAGACAATATCTGAAATCTGAAATATCTGAAACGAACTAGCAATGTTAAGCAAGATATTTGTGAAATGCTTAAACATTTTTTTAATTGGCTTTTTGACATTTAAGATCTCAAAGACACTGATTCAGAGAGCATTTGTCCAAGCATCTTAAGATTACAGTTGAATTTTATGAAATTCACTATGCAGATAGTGATTTTTCTGAAACAATTGCATCAATACCTCTTATAAATGCAATTATCTATAGCAACTGCTCACTCTGAGATTTTCTTTTGCTTTTAAAGCATCTTACCAAGCATGAGGTAGGACATAGTACAGCATGGTAGGCAAGAGGATTGCTGTGGTCAATCACAGCACGGACTCTAGTCTTAATTAGAAATAGCTAGTACAATTAAAATGACAGCTGTTTTCTAGCTGGAATAGAATCATGGAATCATAAAGATTAGAAATGACCTCTAAGATTATCTAGTCTGACTATCAAACAATAGGTAAGACTATCTTAGCTGAGGCTGTTATTTCCCAGTTTAAAACAACTAAACAATTTAAAACATTACAACTTGTGTCCTACTTGCAAGTAGAACTACTGTGGAAGGTCTCATGGCTTGTTTGAGACCGGGACCTTAAGTTTATCTTCTTGTTACACTTAATTGTACCTCCTCCTTGCACTGCTGTTTTCACAAGCTAAGTTTAGGACTATAAAATGCTCAAAAATGCCATATAAGGTCACCTTCATTTCAAACAACTCTGAGGTAACAGGCCTCTCTGTGCCCTTATACTTTGGACTCTGTTCAGGAGAATTCCTGTGCTTTAAGAAAAGAATTTGCACAAACAAGCAATCTACTTGTGCTGGGAATCTGATCACGCCCAATAAATAAAGATTGCATTTTCTCACTGGTGGCTCCGTCTGCTTTCAGAATAAATCAAGGTTTGTGTTTATACACAAAGAGAAAAACATACACTCCCATTTAGACAAACTATTTTTAAGTAAGGAGAGCAACAGAGGACTTTCAAAGAAAAAACACAGCACAACACGTTTGGCTATTACACAGACCACTTCTGTCTCCTCAGAATGATATACTTTTAATCTTCACAGAAAAAGAATTTAGATAAATGAGACAGAATAGGGAGTATTTTCAGAAAATGAAAGCTCAAACACCTGATGAACTCATTTTAAATTTCCTGTTTGGAGTGGTAAATCTGTAAGGATCACCTGTGTGGTAACACCCTCCAGAGTAACTTTTTGGGAATATTTTCTCCTTTGCCCACAATGACACTTATTGAACAGTGTACAGTACTGCCTAAGTTGGGCAACAGCCTTCACCCCCATCAAGCACTAACGCATTTTGTTATATGCTTGCCCTGCAACAGAGCAATAACCAATAATTACTTTTACATGTTTCTTCCAAGCCAGCACAGCTATATTCACCAAACTGCATTTTCTGATCACTTTACCAGAAAGAGAGGAAAAAAAATAGAAGTGCAACATGAAAATAAACCACCGACATTGCAAGGCAGATATTCAAAATGGGTCACTGATGAGTAGAAGTCTAGCTTGAAACAAGGCTGGGTCCTAATTTCCATTAGTTTTCAGAATATGAAAGATAAAATCAAAGGGCATATTGCATATTCTGACTTTTACAACTACAGTGCAAGTTTCAATACCTCAGCTTCAAAATAGAGCTAGAGACACAGCAGACTGCATAATTCAGAACATCTCAGAACCCTGGCAAATTCCTCTGCCTCTCAAAATTTCAGCACTGCAGCCAAGCATGAGGAGCAAGTCACAAAACAAACATCATCAAGAAATATGTCCTTTTCTTCCACATGAGAATGTCCATGGTAAGAGAGTACCATGCTCTCACACATTTAAAATGTCTGTGTTAGCGTTAAGAGTTATGCCATCCTCTGGTCAATGTAGAAATACTAATAGCTTTTTACAAACCTATTTCCTATTCATTTAGGACAATCTCAGTCATATGTACTTTTAAGCCAAAGTTACATTGGGAGATCTCCATGAATCACTTCTTTCTTATTTATCATTTCAAATATTCTCTCTACTTATTTCTTCTAAGAAAATATCACAACTCAGCCTCTGGAAATTATTTATCTCTGCAATATTTTGGTTCTTTCACTACTACATTTTTGTGACTAGAATGACTCACTTCTGGCTCAATTATTAGTGTTGACTGGACCCTCTCTCCATCCTAAAAACAGAAACAGGCAGAGTGTGTTGTTGGAATCCTTGGCATTGTTGCTAGCCCTTCCCCACTACCCCGGCAGAGCCAAGGGGAAATCCTGGGCAGCACTGAGCCAGCTCCTGGAGCCCTGTTCCACCACAGCACATGCATGCACATAACTTCCACTGCACACAGTTTGGTCACAGTGTTCAGTTTTTCTGTGACCCAGTAAAAATCCTCTTGAAGTGAAAAGAACTTTCATTTCTGCATTGATTACAGGGTGTCAAGATCTTTGTGAAAATTTGATGGTCTAGTTTTCCTTGTCCATTCTACTGACCAGAGTGAGTAACCTACGATATCAGAAAGCTGGATAAGATGCAAACTAGTGCACTTGATAAATACACTGACAAATACGGAAACACATAAACTCATGTCAACCATTTTGTCTTTCGAGAGAGAGCCCCCCCTCATCCCCCCCACTGAGGCCTCAAGAAGAATGAGCTGCCTATCCTCCACTTTGAGTGTAATCCTACATATAAAGACTCCCTCCTTTAGCAAACAACACTGCTTCAAAACTGTGCAAGAGACCAGTGCAGAACCCTACCACATTCCTTTCTCTGTCTTTGTGTTCCAGGTTCATGGAACTACCACCATGATGACAGAAGAATTCAATATGAATGTGTAGCATAGCAGAGTGATGTTTCATTATGAAAAATCAGTCTCCACATCATTTGGACAACCCTGTTGTCAGCTTTCTGTTTGGTGAAATACAACTCATGCAGCACAGTCTCACATTATAAAACCATGTGTATTGCATACACGTGTTCTTCTTTCAAAAGTAATATTTGCTATTTCACTTGGTTCTCACAATAGGTTCAGAAATACTTTGTACTTGAAAATATACCTTATACAGTAAGACTGAACACAGATTGCATAGGGTGTGAAACCATTGAGTACCTCAACACAAGCTGTGCTTTTAAGAAGTTGTTATTATTCAGCAGGTTTAATTCTCCAACAGTCATTCATGGAAGCAAGATTTATATGATCATTTGAGTATCTTCACACTTTACTGAGAAATTCCTTCCACGCTTACTCTTTTACACATACATGTTTCTGAAATAGTTCGGATTAATGTTGCACTTATCTCTTTTTCAATCGGCATCCTTCTGTGACTTCATATTCTCTGAAGTCTTTCTGAATTACTAGGCACTGGCTTAGAATCAGATGTTTTTAAGGCTGTAAGGCTGTAATTCTGCCAATTTTACTGTCTATAATTGTTTAATTTCAGATACAATGTCACTGATGTCAAGGAGACTAGTTGCAGGGTAATGTACAATATCCATTGGCAGTAAGGATGACAGATTTGGGTCCTGACTGCTTTCCTCAAGAGGGTTTACTGCAATGAAGATATTTTCATTTGACGGGTTTATTGTTTTAGATGTAATAATTTACGATACTAATGCACTCATCCCCTGCAGTCCCACACTATGGATTCAAAATCCATATGGACTGAAGTTCATCAAGAAAGTATAATGGATTTCTCAACATGCTGTGTTTACATACCACTTTGTTTTCAGCATGGAAAACACATTATGCCTGTGCAGAAGACTAAAAACATTGACTTTGTTATCTTGTATAACAGAAGGATCTCCAGAAATGTACCTGTCTTCTTAATTTATCATAATTAATCTTCTTTAATTTATAAATTGTTCAATCGAACGTTATAAAGTTTAAAGACATTAACTGCAGGATTAGGGATATCCAGACAAACATTTGAGAACTGACAAGATGAAAGGTGTCCCATTAAATATATAAATAGAAAAATTAATATACAACACAAAATTATAAACAATTCATTTTCAGTAATAAGCTGGGAATTCATGTATTATCATTCTATTTTGATGCTAGTCACAGGTATCACATTATCAATCTGCTTCATCTTAATCTGTGGAAGGCATTCTGTGATACAGTATTAATATTTGCTTCCAGGAATTAGCAAAAACTTAATGATTACAATGACAGAGAAAAGTATTTCGATAGGTATTGATTTCATATAGAATAAATATTGATTACAACAGAATAAATGATAAATCGATTAAAATTCAACAACTGTCATAATGCTTTATCTCAAGTTCTTAAACTATTAGTGACCATGGCATAAATAATGTATAAGCAAATGATAAGAAACCAGATTGCATAGATTTTAGAGTTACTGTAGATGTTCCTGTGTTCCTGACTAAATCATAGTGAGTATAAACAAACACGTTGTCTTTCTTTCTGTCAAACATGAGAGATTTCATCACTGTCTTCCACTTGTGAGGCTGGAAGACAGAGGAAAGCTGAAGTTCTTGAAAGGTATTTCAGGATTATTAATCATGTTTTCAATAGAAATCATTTTTCAGAAATCTCCATATCTCTCCTCTGTAACTCAGGTAATTAAGAGTTCTTAAAAAATTCCAGTTTGAAAATATGTAGAAGAAAGTTGTTTCCTTAATATTTCCTGGCTTCCAATGGATTGTTAATAAATATATAAAGAAGTCACATGCTGACCATGTGCAGCTTATAAACGGTAAATGAATGATTATTGTTACTCTGTTTTCCTTACCTCCTTTTTTAGGATGTCTTAAGGGACTTGACTGATGGTCTGTGATTGACTGAGATTGGCTAATTAATTGTGAATCACTCATTTTGAACGCATTTTTTACAGTAAAGGAAGAAGCAGCAATCTCACCCCAATCCTTCTGGAATAAAGAAAGCTGTTTTAGGCATTCAAGAAACATGCTGATTTCACTCTGCCATGATAACTTGTAGCTGTGATCTCACAGAGAGCAACTTTGTATTCTTCACAACTCTTTGAGAAATGACTAATGTGAGATTAAAGTTACACAAGATTCTTGTGGCTTTCAGCACTACTGGCTTAGCATCCATGTCACAAACATTTGTTTATTTTTCCATTTAACTTATTTATCCCCTTTCCTCATGCAGTTAAATCGTAGCATGCACTGTATGCTGATTTCCTCTCATAGTTAATTTGTATCTTTAGAAAAAAGCTATAGGAAGGTATTAATCTGCTTAACATTTCTAAGTACATCATCCAAGGGATTTTGTTTTTTTAATCTTACATATGCTCAGCAGAGTTACTGGCAAAAACTGTACATTTTCTCCATTTCATCCTTTCAACATCAAATGGTAAGCAGCAAAAATTGGATCAGACTTCAAAGACTATGCTGTGCTCCAAGTCACAGAGCGACTCCTCCATTTCACATATTGAATTCGAGCAGGATATCAAAGTGCTACCAAAGAACCTCAGGTCCTTACTAAAAAAGAGGCTCTAACATCTGTAGAAAGTGAAGTGCACAGACAAATCACCTCAGGGAGCTGCTAGCATTTATTCTCAGCAGCAAATTTCCAGCCTTTTGATTCTCTTATTCGCTGTACCTCCCTGTCTTTCTACAGAACTAAAGTTCTTAGCAAGCAGGCTTTTGTCTCAAAGACTTCAAAACATTACTAACGGTTTCATGTTCAGATGGTGATGCCAAGCAGCCATGAATACACTGCAGAACTGAGGACTCAGGAATTTGAAGTTACAATGCAACGCTATTTTAGAATACAAACTTAGCAGTACCTTTTTTGTTTGTTTGTCAAGAAAATCAGGCACGACAGGAGAAGACTGGTTACTTGTTTGCTGCCTAAAAGCAAGATTAAAAAAAAAGGTAGTTTAAATATTGTAATTTCTTCATTCTCATAAAAGGCTCACTGGCATTGTTGATGCTCTTCCCCTTTCCCCCTCCCCCAGACACTAACTATGCACATATGATCAACTCAGAGAAAACACAGACCGGTCCCATTTCCTTTTATAAGGAAGTGCATGTTATTAAACACGGTAACTGGCTATGAGCAATAAATTTGTCATTAAAAAAATGTGGATATGTGTATGTGAAAAGTGAGTTTATGAGGATTCTATGAGATTGAAGTAACTTCTTAAAATTAATTTTACAAGATTTAACGTGAGATATTTTTTTCCTTTAGAGGCTGTGAAGAGCCGTTTTTCACACAGAAATTCAAACTTGTTCTCTCAGGAAATTTGACAAAGAAGGAAGAAGTGAGACAAATGGCTTCATGCTCCCCTAAAACTGTTTGGGTTAAGTAACAGTTCTTACATTAACTTTGTCTGTACCTTTTATTATTTGACCATACAAATATTAAAGGTCAATTTCTCCTCTCATTAAAGCTAATAGAAGTATCATAAAATCTTCTGTAAGCTCTGCTGCTTGTTGGCAGACCTTTGAAGTAAATAGATCTTCTCAATCCTAAATTCTATCCAGAAAAAAACTTTGCTCCAGAATCTTTAGTCATGCAAAATCAAAAAAATATTCTACCAATTTCTTTCAAGAGATAACAAAACTGAGGTTTGTAAAGATTATTTGATAAGCTCACGGTCCTATAACTGGGATTAAAAGCAAGACTTTCTATTTGTCAAAACTTGCCTCAGCCATTACATCATTAATCACCAGTACTGTCACAATCTTTCTGAAAATACAGTCAACTGCAGTTGTATTTCAATGGAAACACATGGAATGTAAGCCTCAGTCATAGATTTCAGATTATGACATACATCATATATTTTTTTTCATGGATAGCAAAAGGCTTTTTCAGGCAGTAAGCTTTTTCAGTTTAACTTCTATTTATTACAACTGAACACCTTTCCGCCTTTTCAGTCACAGTGGGAAGAGGAAATAAGAAGGACAAAAATTGCTCTACTGAGTAAAAGAAAATACAATTTATGTTACCTCAAATTTCATTTTTGTCATTACTTATACGCTGAATATAAAAGACTCATATAAAAATAGAACAACACATTGAACTCTGAAAAACTGTCTGGACACATGCTCAATTTACCTTTTAAAATGTGGCTTCTAAAAACACTTCAAACTGAAATGACATGACCGAGGACTTGAAACATTCTAGACTATTAGCTATTGGATATGAAAACAGTGCATCACCACATGCATGCATCAGCTGATATGTTTATTCTAGAATATCCACAGAGCTTACTGAAATATTTAAAGCCTTATATTGCAATAGAGTTTAGGCTTTTAGATCAATTTTGTCTGAATGTGTTATGAAAGCTTGAGGGGTTGCTTGAATTGTTTCAGACTTGATCACACCAATAAAGACAGTATCACAGTAGTCAAAAAGCTATTTTGGTTGAGCAGAAATAATAGGAAGTATCCATGGACATGGACAGAGCAAACATCAAGTTTTTCTGGAATGTTGAAATTTTGTGAATGAAGTTTGGATTTGCTTGTTGGGTTTGAGGCTTTTTTTTTCCATTATTCACTGACGTTATGAAAGTAAAGGAAAATATTCTGACTAAGCTGTAATTCATATTTAATGTTGTTTTCCTAAGGATGGAGGGATCCATTTTGAAAACACACTCTAATTTGTACTGGGACACTTCTTATACTGAAAAGAATAAAAATTTTTGAGGACTGTATTTGGCCTTGCATTTGAACATGTAGCACATTGTCTGTAAAGTTCTTTTTTGCTGTTTCACCCGTATGTATTCTCTTATACTTAAATAACTACTTAGCAGGATTATTTAGATAACTCGCTGATTTCTTTCAAAATTACTCAAGCATTTATTGAGATGATTCTTCTCCACCTCCCCACACTGCGGAAAATATACCCAATATAATCTAGAAATAATGAACAAACCTCAATTATTTCTATAAGGATGTCAAAATCAAAATCTGCTCTAGATCTGCTCATCTATATGATTATCTTCTCATATAATCAGTATGTTGTAAATGGACCAAATTGCAAAATAGAAACAAATCATGATCTAAATTCAATATTTCTGGTTTTGGGGTGTTTTCGATCTGGATCTAAATTTGCAGCTTGGATTAATCTCTACATTCTATAAATAATCTAGAGTTTAGTATGGTTTTGCCAGCACTTCTGCTTTGCAAAAGCTATAGCTTTATCCAAATGTTTAAAACATGAAGGTTAAGTTCAGCAATTTGCCTTCTCTACATCATAAGCTAACAAAAATCAACCTCTGGAATTTTGATGCCTTAGAATCTTGATTTTCTATCAGGATCCCAATGACATCATGTTTTTCACAACCAACCAGAAAGCCACATGATGTGTAATTCTGCATTTCTACATGATAAACTCTGCAAGAGAACCTTTGGGGATCTTCAGGAATGCATCAGTAATGTGCAGTAGTAAGAACAGCCAGTAGTTTCCTGTGTTGTATTGTATGATCCTTACTTTCTTTATCTATGGTCAAACTGCAACAGCATGTATGCTTAAATTCTGTCCACAGACAAGCCTTCTATGACTTTTGTTGGGTTCCATTAGAGTTACAGAAGCATTGGAGAAGATGCAAAAGTCTTTAAGTCCTGAGTACTTTTAATGGTACATTAAAATAACTGAATTGAAATAAAATACAAGTTCTTGCTCAAGAACATACTAACGGAGATCAGATCATTGACCCCATAAACTCAGTGGCAAATAGGAAATTACATAGAACCAGAGAGCACTTGTTTTCACTTGGTAGAAGATAATGCAGAGATACGGATGCTGTTTCCAGAGATTAATTCAAATTAAGACAATTCATATGCAACATAAATGCAGTTAAGCATCAGCTAGTTCATATGAGTGATTGGGTGTTGGTGGTTAACATCTGAAAATGTGGCACCTGAGGATGTGCGGGATATTTTCAGGTATCTTTGATGAAACTATTTTCACCATGGTGAAAAAAAATTTTCACTTGCCACATTTGAAAGACAGCAGTGTTTGGGTCAAACAGATGACCCAAATGTCAGCACATTTACCTGGAAAGTTCACAAGAGATCCAGCTTCGTGTGCCTGGTTTTAATCAGGGAAAACAGAAATTTGCTGCTGAATATTCACCTAAACTGTCATACCCATGTAGTTTTTCCACTTTATCATCCTACCTCAATTGTCTAAGTCTCATCTGAATGTAAAGAGTTTTACTAAAATAAAAACTGTATGAGGACACACATGCTGACCAGTCAAAGCTTTGACTAGCTAAGTAGAGAAATCTGTAGGAGAAAAGTCACAACGATTGTGAGTCAAGAAAAGTAATATTGATATATTGATGTCCATCCAAGTGCCATTTTCCTCTAAGCACTTCGAAATTCATAACATAGCATTTTTTTAGTGTTTTATACACATTATAGTACTGGAAGTTTTTTTTTTTCTTTTTTTTTTCTTTCTTAATAGATCTTTGAAAAAGTAACAGGCTGTTATATATCCTGTGCATACAACAGAAAAGATCTTTATGTGATTTTCCTTTTGTATCCTGAACACTTTTCAGCTCCTTTCATATTTTTCAAAACTACTAACTAGAAAGCAAAAAAAATGAAAAGAAATGAAATGAAATGCAAAGAATATTTTATTATTCAGCAAATCAGTTCAATGGTATGTGAAGCCACATACCAGTGAGGTTGCCTCGTCTAGAGATAGATTACAAGGTGCTGTGTTAAACATCTGCACTATTATTCACCACTATTTCTTACAAGTTTTTTATATGACTGAACAGCCATGCACTAAAACACAAAACCCCCAAACAGCTACCTGTAGAAGAGAGCCTTGATTTATGGGAAGGAAGTTATCAGATTTAGTCCTAAGATTCTGAACATCACCTGTGAAATGCTCAACATTTTCAAGTCTCACTGAAGTCACTGGAACCTGAGGCCACTGCAGGGAAATTGTATAGGATTAGGCAAATAAGCTGGAAAATTTGTTGGGTTTAAACTGAGAATTGCCAGTAGTAGTTGCAATTTAGCAGCTCCAGGCAAAAAAGGTACGAGTTTTATTACCTGATTGTGTACAGCAATCAGGAGTGCATGCAAGAACTGAATAGCGAATGTTTTTTATGTGGGCATCTTCAACCCAAATATTTAAAGGCATTTAAACACTGATTTCAATATAAATTCATTGTCTGAATACCTTTGGAAATCTGTATCTTTGTGCTCCATAAAGCCCAAATTCACCTCAACAGCTACAGATCCATAAAATGCTAATGAGCCTCAAGGGATGTACAGTTGAGAAAACTGTATCTAATCCACAAAGATACATTAGGAAAGCAACCAGGAATTCCAGAAACAATCTAATGTAGAACGGGAAGAAAATATACAAAACAGATGAAGAAAAATTTGAAGAGGTTGTGAGCCTCCAAACAAGTTCAGGTGAAAGCTTCAAAACACTGAATAAGACAAAATACTTATTTACATTGTATTTTAGTTTTAATTTGGGTTGCCAGACAGAATTGACAACAGACAGGTTATAGGCTCTGTCTTAATGCCATTGGTGCAGACTGGAGAGCAAATAGCTATGAGTAGTTCTAAAGAGATCACAAGATAGTTCCCCTCTTAAATACCTAACAGACAGAAGCTGCTGCACACACATGAAGGGAAAGCAGAATCACAAAACATGTTGACTCTGTAAGCTGTGAGGAGACCGAAGGACAGAGATATGACAGTAAGCTGTAGTGTGTCCATTCTTTTCCCTGAATAACATTACCAAAAAACTATACATACTTTTTTTTTTTTTTTTTTTTTTTTTTGTCTTTTTCCACCAGCCTGAGCCTTGTTTATTTATTCATTTATTTATTCTGAAATCAGACTACTGCAAGGGAGACACTCTGGACTATTATTAACCTGAAAGGATGCAGGTGATTACACCTGGACAAAATCATTTCATGCATTGAAGCATTTAGCAGACGTTATTCAATATAAAAAAAACGAAGTTCACACGGAAATTATGTAACTCAGTATTCTGAAAATACGCAGAGAAAGCTGAAATGCTTTCTCAGAGGAAGAGTCAGTGTAATTAAAAAAATCATAACAACAACAACAACAAAAACAACAAAGCAACCTTCTCAATGGATTAATAGTATCTAGTTGCATTCAAGCAAGTCACTGATTTCATCAAAGAACTCATAAGAGGTGTAGCAGGACCTGCATTTGTGTGCTGTGTAGAAAGACTATAAATTAACAGAAATAAGAACTGGGATAAGAACTGAGATTTCCTGATGTCTATTCCTCAGCAGGGGGCATCTCATAGCTCTTAGTCACCAAGATCTGCTGATCAAAGGGATTCCTTCAGCCAGCACCTCTCCTACAACACTGTAGGAGAGACAGACAAATAATAGGTGGAGCAGTTCCCTTCTATATGCAAGAAAGAGCAGGGCAATATTTGACTGAAATGACTCCTCTAGTAAGGAAGATCAAAATATTTTTCCTCTACAAAGGAGGCACCACTATTAAGGTTTACAGCATGTGTAGTCTGTCAGTGACTTGGCCATCTCCTTTTTGCAAGTCTTTTCCCTCATTACAACTCTGCATGGAGCTCTACAGACACAAAAGGGTACACTTCTACTCTCGAAAATCATGCATTGCAGCCAGTTCTGAAATGCTGTCTGTGGTTAGGGGTATTGTGTGTACTTCTGAGAAGACATCAATCCAGGGCAAACAGTACTTCAAATAAATCTCACTTCTTTACCTGGGAGAATACTGAAATGACTATGCTGGTGGGGGGAATGCTTAACCTACAGGTGATCATCTTCAGAAAATGGCAAGCTCCTTAAGCGCCAGCTGAGTCATAATGACATGTCTGCTCCTTTCAGATTTTACTGTGTGCAAAATCACTTCTGTAGATAACAGACAGGAAAGGATTCAACTCACCAGTGCTCTTCACAGTCAATATCAGAAGTAGAGCAGCTGCTCATACGTTGAGAATCTGCTACACAGCCAGTGCTCTTCTTCAGTCTTGGGTAGTTTTTGCGAACAATATAACCCCTGAAAGCTAAAAAATATAGTCACGAATCAGAGAAAAACTCTGCAGAACCTGAAACACAGACTGGCATTTGTCTCTGGAGTCCAGAGCTGAATGCTCTACTACTGGAACATCTAAAATCTGGATTAATGTTGTATGGGATGTAGGATATGGGTTGTGGGACACAGAGCAACCTCATGCAGGATTAAAATAACAGTGTAGGTAACATTGGAAAAGCAGGAGGTGGAATAAATAGAGAACATAGTAAAGAATAAATTGAGAACGAAGAAGTTGACAAAAAGATCATCTCATGCCTGATATTTTGTAAAAACAGCAAAAGTGTTCCCTACACAAAAGAGGAAAAAATGCAGTACTTGGAACCTGTCATTATTACAAAATTATGGAATCATTTTTTATTCATTTTTCCTTCCATTTAATGACGCTTAGAAACTTAACTCAGCATTCATCTTTTCTTTTTGCATAAGGAAAAGATAGAGGAAAAAAATAAAGCTATCCTGATCTTAGCTGCTACTCTTTCCATAGGATGTAATGTAATCAATCCCTTCTTCTCTATTTTAATTCGTGTTAATGACTTTCTTTCCAGCCATCACAAAAATGTGCATTTCTGCACTTTTATGTGCAATATACAAAAAAAAAAAAAGCATCCTAACCATTCAAGCTGTGGTATGCAATGCACCATAACAATCTAACATTTTCAATGCTACTGATGTTTCCAGTGTAAGAAGCAGCAAAATTTGCCTTTTAATGAGGGATTACTCAAATAAATAACCATTCCCTTTACAGAAGGCATGACAGAAGCTGGGCCTGCTGAGGTGTTGTTCTGAATACAGAGCTCAGGTACCATGAGGCTGAGCAACTTTCCACCCTTAATAATGAGACTGGAAAAGTCTGCCTATCTGGCAGAGATGAGGCGAGCGCTCTCTTGCCCCATGTGATCAGGCTTCCAATTCTTAACTATCCCCCACTGACCAGACAAGGAACCTACTCTGCTATTGGCAGCAAAGACAGCTGGCTGGCAGCCACCTTTCTGCAGCTCAAACACGCTGAGCAACAGTCAGTATATGGACTACTGTAAAGATAAAGATGCACTGAAATAAATGAACTAGTAAGATAGGCATCATTTTTCTCTCTAGTAATTTCTCAGCTTTCAGCAGTTGCTTTGCAAGTGTGTGTATAAAACCACCCCCATACCTCTATGATTTTTTCTGCCAGATACTTACTAATGACAGTATAACTATTTTTTGTCTTTCCCTCATTCACTACGCACAATCCACTTTATTTCATTTTGCAAACTTCATTTTTACTCTGAATTCTGTTTTCATAAATAATTTCAGGATCAAATCCTCTTCAACGGAAACCTGTCTTAAGCTGGCTTCTAACATTCTTCTAGAATATCTCTGATCTTACAGGTAAATGACTGTGCTTATCCTGCTTTCCCATTGACTCACAGGACAACTGAAGTAGAAGGGTAAACAAACATTTTTCTGTCTCACAAGCTTCATCGAGAATTAGTAGAACTGCATCTTTTCAACATTTATTAACTGGATCCATAACGTTTCAAAGGAAATGCATATGCAGAGAATTCTACTGGGGGAGCCAGAGAGGTTGGGAAGCTGTTCCATCATGGCAATTTGCATTACTGACTGGTGCTGGTTTTGACACTAAGCACTTGGCTCAAAGAGTGTGAAATTAGCAGACTCATGTTGCTAGTGCTCCACGAACAATCACTGCATCACTGAAGAAGAATGATTACCAGCTGTCACCTCATTTTCACCTTATGCATTCTATATTCCAAACTTTACAGCAACAGTATCTCTAACCCTGATCTTTACATAACCAATGATAGCAGGACCTAAACTCAAAGCAACTTAGGAACACAGGAATTTTAGAACTTTTATCTTAATCGTTAACCTATTAGAGCTAAGCATTTTCTGTGACACCGCTGAGGACACGACTTTTTACACTAATTTTGACTCAAAGTGATCACTCTGCCAGTTCCAGCATGCAGCAAACAAAGAACATATTTACCACAGGGAGCCTGAGATTTGGCATACTGCAGTTAAAAATCTTTATTTTAAGGTCTAAGCACTGAGGAATTTTACATTGCATGCAAAGTTACACAATTCCAAATAGCAAAAATCCAGGCATTTTCCCTCTTATTCCTATTGGAAATATACAGTTACAGACTGAGTTGTGAAGCACAATGTAGAAAGATCAAAGCTAAATAATCATAGGTCTGTACCTGAGGCACGAAGAAAGGAGATGAAGTACTATTTTAAAACAGCAGAGGGATTCATTCTCAGTTGTAAGAAATCTTGTTAAAAAAATATTTCTATATACACATATTTTTAAGATATAACTTAAAATAGTACATAAGAACAACTTTCGAACAGAAAGCTCATGTTTGCTAAATAGAAGGTGTCATGATTGTTTGTAATCAGAAATTGATTTGCTACAAACAGCATATGACCTTCTTAATTTGCCTAGATAAAAGAGCATTCAGCAGCTTAACTACCAACATCTGAGGTGATTTGGAGCCCATAAATCTGATTTTTTGCTTCATGCCAAATTAATTCCACTGAACAGTAAAAAAGATAGGAAGTCATGTCCTTTGCTGAGTCCCATGAATACTTCCCCTCTTTCACCTCTCAGTCTGGATGGATCTTGGGTGATGAATGCTTAGTAGCAGGAAAAATAACTGATGTCCTATATTCTCTGGCAGAAGCATTACAAGAAAGCAGGCCTCGTTACTGATGCACATCATCACTTTGATGGATTTTAATTTTTGTGCATTGCACTAAAAAGTTCTATCTCGAGACTTGGTGAAAAAAAAGAAGTGTGGATGACTCTGAAACTGATTATCAACATCAGTAATGACAAGAAAGAAGTATCCCCAGGTCTCTTGTCCCTTCCTGATTTTACCAAGTGTATGAATGGACAGAAGAAAAAAAAAGAAATACAAAAAAAAGTAGAATTATTCACACAAATATTAGCTCAGAGACAGAGATAAAATACAAGACCTCATCCTTCAAAAAACTGTTAAGGCCATCTCACTTTTGTTAACACGCTCCCTGCATATGAGCAGCAGGTTTTTAATGGTTGCTTGGTGTACTAGAAGTGAAGACTGACTGAATTGCCTAAGCTGGTACAGAACATAAGGAGACAGAGAAGTAAAGTTAAGTAAGGCTGTGCAGCCTCTAAAAATACATCTGAATGTGAAATCAAGGTAATACAATGACTCAGCTTAGCTACCATTAAAAGAAACGTATCTCTTCAGAGGTTCTTATCCTGAAAATGCTGCTAAAGGGAAGATGAATGACACAAAATAAAGCTTTATCTGTTACTTACTGCTTGTTGTTTTCAGGAATGATAAAAAATAGATGCATTTCTAGATATAATAATGATGTGCTTAGCAGTATTTGGAACATTTTAATCACATAATTCATATAACTTTACAAGATTACTTGCTGAATACATGTAGACACACATACATACAAATTGACAGAAAAAATAGGGTTTTCAAGAAATGTTTCCTTTGCTGAAAAAAATCCTGAAGGTAAAATTTTAATTAAAAACTTACAGTTATTATAAATATGAAATAGTGCATTCCAGCTGTTCTCAAGCATTTAAAATAATAATAATAATAATAATAAAAATAAATTTCACCTGAAGCCCAGGAAAGATATGCAATTAGTGAGATACGCAAACACTGCATGGGAAGAAGTTATAGAAAGCATTTTGCAAAATGTTTTTTTCACCTTATTTCCTTCTGAACATACACCCCCTTTTTTTAAAAAAAAAAACAAACAACTTTTTTTTAGCTTAAAAAAAAAAAAGGAAAAGAAAAGAAAAAAGAAAAAAAAAGAAAAATAAAGAGTTGGGTTCTGCTCTTTTTTCTTGAGTTCTTGATCAAGAATTTTCCAATACAATGTGACATATGGTGAGTGTGTGAGCACGTGTTGGAGGAGGAGATGGTGGCTCAATGGATTAGTCATTTGCCTTTCACCTCTGGAAGCATAGTTAAACTCAGTCCTGACCAGAGTTGCACAGTATATTCCAGATGGCTAAAGTGGGCCTAATTAAAATGAATTCAGTGATGTCACCTCAGATCTAAGTGAATTGTATGCACCACTCATTTGGCATTTTGGCAACATTACCTCACAAATGAAATAAACAGGATTAAAATCCTCCTTTAAGACTTTAGGGACAAGGGTCACTCCACATAGAAATACGTGTTTTCTTAACTAGACTACGTATCGTTGTAATTCTATTATCTGTTTGTTATATGTATTGTTTTCTTTTTAATTCTAATTAATGCTTCCCTGTAATACAAAGAAACATTAAATGAGACTTGCATGTGAGACACACCAGTAGAGCAACATTTCAGTCAGATGATTCAATGGTCATACACTGATTTACACCAGGTGTGAATCAGGCAAAAAAAAATTTCTAAAATAATTTTAATAAAATCTTTTTCATTTTGCGTAGACATAAATCCAAAGAATTTAAATCCCAATTACAAAGAAATACTTACACCAAAGTGCAAAGAGTTACTAATGTGAAAACTTTACATGAAATAATTCTTCACAGCTCCTCTCCAAATTAAAAACTGCCTCAACAATACAGTTCGGGAAAGCTGGACGGAGGAAATAAGAAAGGACTTGTGTAACCTGTGTACCATTTCTCATCTCATAAACTCTGTACATTCTGAAAATCTGTAGTGTGGATATGCTGAAGTAAGGCAGCTTTTTCTTCCTCGGCTGATTTAAATTCACAAATATTTTGTCTACTAGCTAGAGTGTTTCCCTTATCTGAAATAATGACCATTTTTTTGTGTAATATTATACACTCAGGAAATGTATCCCCAAGTATATTGTGAAGGGTTTTTTTTTCTAAGTTTGTTTTTTCTTTCAACATTTCATCAATGGATAGCAAACTGCTGGGCCCACAGAGATCTCCAGACCACCAGCTCATGTATTTGAAAGGCATCTGTTTATTTTTAAAATGCAAATGTAGCCTACCTCAAAGACTGACTTGCAAGAAATGAACAATCTGAACAAGTCAAGAGGTTTCCAATCAGGAGCTGTGTTCCTCCTTTATATCAGGCTATGATCACTTGCTGTCAAAACCACTTAAACAATATCCTGGAATCTGAATGAAGTCCCCCCACAATTAAAATGAGCAGGATAATCCTGCAAGAATTATTCAGGCAAATCATTTTTCACACAGTTTAAAGTAATGATAAGGTCATTTACAAAAGAAATCAGCGCCTTTGAAATGCTGACTTGTAGACAGAGGACTGCCTGGAGGAGGGCCATAGATAACAGTGAAGACTGGCCTCCTAACACTACCCTCGCAGTCTTTGGAACTGATTCTGATGAAGAGAAGGCCCAATAAGGTTAATACCCCTACTTTGATCTCTGTCAAAGCGTACCAGCAAGAATTAATTTACATTTCAGATGAAAAAGGTTGACAGCATGAAAAGGCATCTTGTTTCTGGTATGTGAATGTGCTGTAATAGATCGGGAATTCTGAAAGGAAGTTCTGAGGAAGCTAAAGGGATAAGCCGAGCGGCTGCTTTTATTGGGAAAGAGATGAAAGGAAAACAAATTTCAATATGTGCTGTTCTGTAAAAACATGTAAGCCAAATGCTTCCTAAATTTCAAGGCCTGCTTGAAGGCTGAGGATGGGGGAGGGAGAGGAGAGGGAAGTACATTTATTTTAATTATACGGTTTTGCTAATGTCTGGATGACAAATGCAAACAATATATCTCTCTGCCTGAAATGATTCATTTTTTTTTTTAAAAAAAAGCAAAGGTGATCATACTCCTTTTTACTGAAAAGCTGCCTTGAAATACACACTAACATTATAAGATGTGCAGGGAAGGCAGAGATTTGGGCTTGCTTTTGTTCCCATGTCACTAAGCACTTTGGCAGTGTAATGTAAACAAGAGAAGGATGTCTGTGTATTTTAAAAGCAGGAAAATGGCCGCCATTCACAAGCATGAGCTTTGATTATAAACACTGAATGACTAACATGTAGAGAAGAAAAAATGGTGCAAGAAGAATTTTCAAATATGAGGTCCTAGATATAGATTTCCAAAGGCAGAGAGAAACATGCTGGGGACTATTATTATTATTATACCTCACTGAGTGCAGTGCCAAAGACAGGAGAAGCAGCCAGGGTAATTAATACAGAGGTGCATGTGTCACTCTTAACCCTACAGTCCTAGTGCTCATTTACCCAGACTGATCACTGAAACTGTCAAGTGCCAGGTTACAAAGGAAGGCAGTGTGTCTGTTGGTTGGAAGAGCACTAATAGCATTCCTCCAGCATTAGGCCCTGAGGACAGAAATGTCCAAATACCAGGATATGTGTACAATCCCACTGCCTCTGCTCTGCCGTGTTCAATGCAGCATCTCAGAGATGACAGGAAGGAACAAAGCTCTGAATCTATTCCATGTGTGTAAACAGCAGAATCAGTTGCATTTTCTAAAGCACTGGTAATATGCATGGACCTCCTACATGCCTAAGAAAGCTAGCTGAATAAAATTCTAAGGCCAAGTATTCCCTATAGCCTCTAAGTAATATTGCTACACACGAGCTTCCAATGAAATCTGAGATAACTCTCCTCTTAAAAACTGTTAATAGTGGGAAAGTGAAGGGTCAACCATTTCACTTTCTTTTTTATGACAAAATGCCGTCATAAAAGTCAGGAAATCCTAGTGCAGGTATGGACAAGCATAAATTTAGTGAATACTCCAGAAAGCAGTTGCATGTGGTTCTTTAAAATCTGGTCATGAATAAAACAAATGAGAACACAAAGGAGAGGAAGAAGGGGAGAGAACACTCATGCAGTTCCTCAGTGCTTGCAGTAATAGGGAAAAGAAAATCTCCTTAACTGTTCTCCATATAATATAATGATCTGCATTTAACACTAGAGCTATAGTTTATGATTATACATAACAGTATGCACACTAAGCTATAAATTACTATTTTAACCTAATGATAATCTGTTCCTTTCTGTAACCAGATTGGTATTCTTCTGTTTTCTGCTCAAAGTCATTCTGAAGCTTATTTTCAGAGTAGGAAACTTAAAAGAAAAAAAAAGTTGCATTTAGTGGGAATGGCTTACGAAGAGAACAAAGCGAAGGAATATTTGTAACTACTCCATTTCAGATTGATTTTAGGTTGTATGACACAAAATAGAGAGGTTACAAAGCTTAAGGACCTATGATAGCAGAGGCAGCTGGTAAAATAAAGGTGGTGCCATGATTTATCTGTAAACACATTAGCTACAGCTGATTTTTGATCAGGTATAGTCTCTCACCTGGGGTTGGACAGAAAAGGTGTGTTACACTGCATCATATGGGGGCTGCTTCACTCTGGCAGCATGTGAAAACTTCACTGAGTTTGCAGCAGTGGTTCTTAGATTTCTATGCCATATGGTACCCTGCTCTCTACTAGAGACCTGCACAGCCCTATGGGCCTGTTCCTCCAACAATCTCTTTAAAGTTCATTCAAATTCATATTGATACGGCAGCATAGGAGTCTGGCAGAGAGTCACAGATTGGCCAAAGCTAGCAAACTCAGCAGGCAATTGAAAGGGAAACTTGGCTATCTGCCAAGATCGGTACTTGACAAAGAGAGAAATGCATGTCCAGTGCCTCCAATCCACACTTACAGTCAAACAAATTCAGTACTTCATTCCAGCTCTGCACAAGACTGAGTCAGACTGATTGTGCTGAGAAGAATCTTAAAGAATTAACAGCTTTTATTTGGTATGTTCCAGAAAGGTACTCAGAAAAATCTCAGAAAAAGTGTCATAACTGTCACAGATGTCATTTGATAGTGAAGAACAAGTGACGAGAAGCAATGCTTTTGACAGATTTCATTTGAACTGTACGTATTTCTCTTTGTTATAAACACTGACACATGAAATCACCCACAGGCAGAATAGGTATTGGCAACTAAAATAATGTTTTAATTACCTGCTTGAATATGTATAGCAGCATTATTTCTTCTGTTCCTTATTTCCTTGTACTTCCTGCGAGCTTCATATCCTCTCCAAGCTAAAAATACAAAACCATGTGCTGGAAATTACATTTATTTAAGGAAGTGCTACAGAGTCTACAGAGTTAGAGATGTGCTGAAACTTTCGTCCCTCCTGCCACAACCACTCCAGCCCCCACCTCCAGCACCTCCTCCTCACCCACCCACATGTTGAACTCTGAGTTCATGACTGTAGTACTCTCATTCCTGCAACTTCAAATACTGCTTTACTCATCCAAATTTTAATTGTCACCATGTGCTCACTGATGTCCTAATCCAAAAGGCAAAGGTGCATTATAATTGTGCATCATCAGTCAGCACAAGAACTCCCCTTCTCACACAACTTCCCAAATTCGATATAAAAAAGCCTGCTAGATTACTGGCAATCAGCCTTTTGGGCCCATCCCATTATGTTATCTGTAAGTATGGTGCACATAAGAAGGCAAAGGGAGAAAAGAGGGAGGAGAGCCAAGATACTGCATGTATGTGCTGCAAGCTAGTGTAGACACACCTAACAATATTTTCCATTTATGTACAGGCATCACATCCAAAATATTAAAATATTTTAAATAATTACATTAATGAAAGCTAAGGTAACACCCTAGAAGTAAATCAGTAATATTTTCATCAATTAGCTGGAGAGAAAAGTACCTCCTGTTATTTCGATTTCATATAAACTATTATCAATGAATAAATATTATACACATATATTTAACATCTTGAAATGCCAAATTACTCAGTGAAGTAGGAAATGTGAATATTTACCTGACTGTATGGTAACAGCACTATTTTCTCTTTTTTCTTTGGCTTTCTTGTATCTTCTTGCTCCAAGCCATCCCTTGATATAAGCCTGCATGACCACCACCCTCCCTATAACTTCTCGCAGGAACAAATTTAACTGCTCTATATGGTAATACTTTAGAAAAACCTGAAATGGAACAACAAATTCAGTATTATACACAGGTAGCAACACAACCGATTGTATTTTGCCTTTTTGGAAGCCTTGTATTAGCCTACTTCCGAGCACTTTTTCTGGGAAAGCTCATAAAATACTAGCTGCCTTTTTTTTTTTTTTTTTTTTTTTTAGCAATTTTGTGAATTAAATAATTTGCTTTCAGTGTGCTGAGGGAGCTTCATTATTCCATTGAATACGATCACTTATTCAAAAAAAAAATAAACCACTTATTTTTGCCCTTAAGAAAGTAAAAAGTAACTGATGAGAGAGAAGCTTTCACGTATCAATAGTTTTAAAACACAGACTTTCTTGACAGTTGGGGGATAAACCTTGGACTACATTTGTTTTAGACAATACTGTCTAACAACACTGCTTTAAGAGGCAAATACTACGGGTAGTTACACACACTTTATCTCTTTGTTTTTCCTTTGTGCACAATAAAACAACTCAGGATACAACATAACTTTCTTTTCACAGAAGTCAGCCAGACCATTTTAAGCCACCATCAAAGGCTCTTCTATCAAAGAACCAGAAAAATCTCATCTGAAACTCCACAGATAATGTACTAACCAGACCCACAGAACAGGCCAGAGTGTAAAGTTTCAGTCATGTCATGATTAATAGAAGGATCTTCAAGACACTATCACAGCAGGCACTGACAGATGTACCATCTTTATCAAGGCAGCCACGTGCAGAGTGCATTTTGGGGAGGTACCCAATGCACCTTTTCTGCGGTAGCACAAACTCATCTGGATTGGAAGGACACCTCTGTAACCTAGAAGGCTAACTAACTGGAACAAATTCCTTGCTCTCTTGTTAATTCACTCAGTACTTTGCAAAAACACTGTCAGATAAGCTTTGCTACAGGGACGCTATCCTGGAGAAAACATTAGCATTCTCTACCTTAGTTTTTCCAAGAATCCAGTTTTCTAGTTTAGCTTTCTCCAAAATGGTCAGACAGTTTTCTCTGCTGCCAAGGGGAGACTCATGTGCCTTGAAAGCAAGGTAGTAATACCTACAAAGCAAAATGACAAAGAAAAAGTTGACTTGGTAACAAAACATACTTCCACTGCTACTCTGTAGCTCAGAGATAAAACTCCAGAATTAACGGAAATATTTCTAAGATACATTATTTATGACCTGAAGTCTGTTTCTCATGAAAAATGACCTTAAAGTCTATTTCATCAGTAGAATCTTGCGGTATGTTAGTGCATAATCAATGAATACACGGATGTTATAATTATGAAATATACCAGAGAGTTTGGCTAAAGAGGTCATTATACCAAAAGAGAATAGATAGAGTGGTTGCTCATGTCCTGGGCTTGCTGAAAAATTCCAAAGGAAGAATCTCCAGAAGAGATCCTTCCCCAGTGGCAGTCAGCTCCTAAATGGGTCTAGAAGAGGTGCAGCCAAGCTCCACCCCTTCCTGCAGCACAGGTGAATTGCCTTCACCTGTGCTCCATGGCTGACTCAGTGCTCACCTCAGATAATCAATAAGAGGTTCAGGTCGTGATTCAGCAGTTCCCATACAGTTAGCTACTGGTATTGGCCATTTTTCACAAAGAAGTATAAGTGGCCTTGATATTAATTGGGAAACAGGGATACACGTAAGAAGACCAATGACTCTTGAGCTTGTAACAAGACCACCCTGTCAACAGCACTTAAGTAATATTCATTTTCAGTATTTCAAACAGAAAAACTGCAGATTCTCGGTCTGTGAAGAAAAAGGCCAGCACTAGTACGGCAGGCAGCACACAGTCTCTATCAGTGATACTGACTGATCATATATGCTGAGAGGCTGCTACCATGTGCAAAGAATAAAGACAGTTTACAGGAAAAACAATTCTCGTATTAATCTTAATTTACAGACAGCAGAATCTTCAGACTGCTTGACATCTGAATTTCGTGTTTCTGGGAAAAGGTTGTATATATGCACAATTAAAACAACTGGCACTGCTATCTTATTGGCAAGGATCATATTAGTGCTGGTAGTTAAACAAAACTAGTAGCTATTTTAAAGAGAAAAATAAAATGAACTACTCTTCATTTAAATTAAACCATTTTTGATCGGCACAAGGATTTCTATGGTTATGTAAGTCTTTAGGCATTTTGCCTTTTTTCTGTTTGATTGGGATAATCAGTCAATGGGAATTATTATGATAACTCCAGTGGCCTTCAGATCAGGCCCATGGTAAACAACCTTGACTTTCGTTTTGTCTGTGATCCCAAAAAGAACAGCTTGAGAATTATGTGAAATAAAATTACGGTGCAAAAAGACAAAAAGATAACTAAAAAGAGATGCATACTTGTTTGAACTGAATAGACATGAGAAATGACTGTAACAAGCCGTGGTTGTAAAGCCACCATTTGTTCATGAAGAACAGTTTTATAGTATTCAAGTTATTCTATTTGCAAACAATCATGTTACATAACAGCAAGAACACTGGCTAGCTAGTTTACAAGATCAAGGTTATTTTAGCACAAGTACACAGTTAGATAGTAGCAACTGCCACCTCACCTCTCATTTATGAACCATCTGAACCATCATGTTTCTTCTTTAAGTTTCACTTCTGCAGGAGCTACTCTGTTTACATTGCTCTTGAAAGGAATTGGCAGGTTCAGCAAACTAATCTCCTAATTACTAGAATGGGGAAGAACCATCACATAGTCCTTAGAATAAAGAAAGGAATCTGACCCGTGAATCTCACAGATTCCTCTTGTAGCCACATAAAGGCAAGAAAAAATTCTACCTCATACTGCAAAAAAAAAAAAAAAAAAATACTGAGAAGCAATTATAAAGAATGGAACAGTGCAAGTTTGTGGGTTTGTTTTTTTTTTTTTTATCAGGGGAATATGATTTTCAAATATTAGCTCCAGTTAATCTCTAGAGATTAGCTCCAGTTGTCACAAGAAAGAAAAAAGAACCACTAAAATAGTCAATAAAGATCAAAGGGGAACCAAATGATGTCTGAAGGCACTGGAATCTGTCCTGAACTGGAGAGATAGATATTCACCAACTGGAGACACTGCCCACTCTGAATAATGATAAGAGATTACGTGTTACTGAGTTAAGGTTTTTTAATGTAGTCATTTTATCAGTAAGATGGTATTGCAAATTATTTAGCCAAGTCTTTCAAAGTGCCAACAGTCATGGCATTTAGCAGGTATGGAGAAACGTTACAGATTTAAAAGAAAAAATGCCCATTTCCTCTACTTTACTACTAAACTTAATGATACATGATTTCACAAGACAGCATTCTGACTTGCACTGATAGAACTCAGATATAAAATATACATATCCCAAACAATTTGTCATAGTTTGCAGTTTCAACATGCGCTTGACAGACATGTCAGAGAAGTTGCATCAGTAGTAAATTGCTGATTGCTACATAAACTAGTTCAGATTAGTCTTGGCATTTATATGTATGTGTAACTTAAGTGGCTTGTTTCTTTTCCTAGAGGGAAGGAAACCTTCAAGTCTATGCTATTATCAGCTTTTCACATGTTCACGCGTCTTTTAAGACATGTAGCTGGGAATTTTAAAATCATTGAACAATATTCAGATAGCACAGGTGCAATAAAATAGTTGGAGAACTCCACAATTTTTAAATTTTACAATCTTATCAGTGACAAGCAAATGCTTTGTTTTCTAACACTGCCTGTTTTCATGCCTAAGTCACTAACTACAAACACACAAGTAATTTGATTTGTGCTTAGGATAACTGTATCACAACATAGCATGTGCCATGTAGGGTCATCTAGTATGTGCCATGTAGGGTCATCTAATTTATGAAATTTAAGATCTTTGTATGGCAACAAAACAAGTGCAATATTTTGGAGAAAGATAAAATGTTTCACCTTAATGCATCTGGTGAAAGTTTGCAAATATTATACATGGTGAAACGGTAGTGAAATTTCTACTTGTGCAGCCAAAGCTTTGGGCAACATACAATTACAACTCTGTTCATTTTGATTTACTGGCCTAAGAACGTCTCTATCATACTTCCATTCTGCTGTACAGAGATCACAAAAAGAGCGAACTCTATTTACATGATTTTATCAAGGGAAGAAACTAAATCCTTAAATGCAGAAATGTAGGGCTAGAAATCACACGCACTTCCACATGAGAATAAAGATTCACAACTTAGTTTTTTTATCTGCATATTTGCTTTTGTTCTAGCAGACAATGCAGCAGTCCAAAACACTTTGTCTATATTAAGCCAATACTTTTATTTCTGTTTTTTAAAATTAAGTTTATAATTTTTCATTCATTGTAACATAGGCATGGAAGGTCTTAATGAGCAATGAGAAATTTAGGACTTCTGAAAAACAAAACCAACAGGTAATTTAATTGTAGCAGACACTACTTACATATTCAGACATTCAAAATATTTTGTCTTAAATGCACAAAAATACTCATGGAGTATTCCACATATGCTGTGGAATCTTCTACCTTGAAGTATTTTGAATTGGAAATGAAGAAACAGTTTTACCCTCTGTTTAGGAAATAAATACAAGACTGAAAGAAAGACTTAAATAGACAAGAAAGAATGATAGTCTCGCTCCCAGGGCAGCTTGCTAAACTGGCTGTAGGTTAAAGTAATGCTGTGCCTGGTCTATACATAAGGTACCATCTAAATGGGATCTTTGCACTACATCACTGCATTTAAATAGAATAAGAACCACAAAGGCTATTACAAACCATTTTGCATGAGATTGGAGACATACTCCAGTATGTTGGTAAGATTTTCTTCTTTGGATGCAAATGGTTACTCTTACTACTGAAGATCTGAGTGATGACAGAAAAATGATCACCTAGGCTGAAATTAAGAAACTGTAGCATTCCCATGTAACTGGTACTACTGTTTTAAGTACAACATGGTTCTATTTGTTTTGAATTAAAGACAGTAAATTCCTAAGTGCCATACGGATGCAAAACCACATTTCTTTTAAATTATCCATCCTGCTTGAACATTTCCTACGTATACTCAACTATATGTACCCTAAAAGCATTTGACTGATCACATTCTCAGCAGCAGTGAGTAAAAGAGAAATAATTTCACCTCAAAAGAACTGATTTCTCAGCAGATGAAACCTGTTTGAAATTATACATTTCTTAACCATTGGTTCTTATATTGCTCTACAAAGGATCCTGCATGGATGTTAATATTCTCATGCAAAACATATATTACAGCAGGATTAACTTGGACTTAAGAGTAATTAGAGACAAAAGGAAGTTCATTAAAAGTTGAATTTATCCCCAGATGAACAAATACAAAGCTGGGACATGCATAGTTAAAGTTAAAAACATCCAAGTGTACTGAGACACAGAAAACATCAGATTGCTGCTGTGTGTTAATTGTCTGACTTATGTAAGGTTTTACCTTAGACAAACAGATTGTAAATGGTTCAATTTCTCTCCTCTCCAATCTTTAGGGCTGAATTGTGGAAAAGATCAATAAATAGCACTTAAACAGCACCATCAACTATTATAACAGTGCCTCTTACCAAAATTCCCTTTGCAATCCAGGCCTAAAGGCTCTGTAAGTTCTACACACCAAGGTGACAATTAACACTTTTTGTCTTTAAAAAGAACATTTGTATTAAATATTCTGGCCTGAGGTGGAGAATGGGCGATGACATATGAAAACCTTGAGGTGTGAGAAGGAGAAAATCTCTAATTAGACCCCCAACTACAAAAGGCCTATTCTCAGTATCCAAAAAATGCTTGTTTCTTCTCAGGCCTAGAAATGGAAAGTTAAAATACAAACAAAAGAACCATCATGGTTTTGAGCACAGAAAGAGCCTGTAGATAACTTTCAAGAATTCCCAGCTTGTATTTGTTGCATCTTACCTCTTTTAGAGGCTTCCCCAGTAAATTGTATAGAACTGATTACATTGGACTCTGCAGTGAGAGTATGAATTGAAAAATGTAACAGAAATGTAAGTGAAAAAAATATCCAAGAGACTCTTAAGAAACATCTACAAAAATTTTCAGTAGAAAATACCTAAAGCATACTGTCAATCATCAGATAACCATAGAATCACAGAAATACTCCCCAAAAAAGCATATTTTGGTTCATTCTGTATTTATAACTTGTAAGGGATTATCAGACTTTTCACTCGTAGAGATTTCAAGCCTCTTTCATCCTGCAACTGTTTACCAGCATTCTGTGGATGTGAAGAGTATAGAAATAAGATGTGGAAAATACAGTAGTTTATCATACATGAAGTGTAAAGTGTATGCAGATTAGGTGAAATCTTAAATCCATTGAAAGAAACAACAGACACTTCCATGGCTTATAGAAAATTAAAATAAGGTGAATGGCAATGTTTTTTTCTCTAGAATTCACTTGAGAGTTTTGATACAAAGCAGACTCAGTGTTAAAAGTGAGAATGCAGTAAGAATGAACTATTTTAACGGTGAGTATTATTTTCTGTCTAGCAAGCCAGTTGACTTCTAATTTAATACAGGGCTTCCCTTATTATGAATAATAAACAAGCCTATCACCACTGGCAGAAGAAATGTCACACTGAGATTTTAGAGACTGAGTTGGTGTCAGGAGTACCAACAGAGACCTTATGCAAATTTACACTGAAAATTCTTTTAGAAAAAGAAGAACCAATCATATTGGGATCATTGTTACAGAAATATTACTGGTATTGCCATGAGTGTATGTTCTGAATGACATTATCTGTCTATTAAAGAGGGGGTAGCACTCATAGGAAAACCACATTCTTCATTCTAACACAGTACAAAGAACTTTGATGCAGAACATAAACTGTTAGAGAAGTAAAAAGAAAAAAATATATAACTCTTACATGAAATTTATACAAAACTTCTCAACACATTCCTATGTGCTTATGAGACGTCTGAAGCCTGATACCATTTAGCACCATGAGACTCTCAAGTCTCTTATATTTCAAAAAATGATATAGCATATGCTGCATTACACAGAAAGTGTATACAGGATGGGTATATGCAGTAATGACACGCCTGCAGATCACATCAGAGGCCTAGGCACTGGAATATAGGAAGTAGTGTCTCATCTAATGGGAATTTCGATGTACGTCCCTTTCCTTAGCTGCTGTGCAGTGCATGGTCACTATGCAGACCTGCAAGCCAGGCCCACCTTGCTGCCTGATCACCTTAATAATCTCTATCTGAAGCCGGGGATCACAGGCTGAGAAAGGGACCACAGAGCTCGACAGAAAACGTGTAAGACAGACTCATGACAATATGGGATGTGAAACACAGCAAATGCAGATGAACTGCTGAAAACTTGATAGGTTCACAGTGTTTACAAGGGTTGTACATTAGATTTCACTACTTTAATTAAAATAATCTCTTTGTTTATACATGTGAAACACATGATTCTATCTTTGGCTACAGTACCATTGTATGAATGAGTTACAATTAAGACCGCCCCTCACCATCTGCTTTTCATCCCAATAAACTAAATTCCAGGTTTGCAACCTGTGAAATAATCTGCTCTGCATGAAAACAGAAGATGGTAAAGAGTAACATTACAAAGCTTTATCTTTTGTTTACCTCACACCTGATAAACTCTGAATGGTTCTGTTCCCTGCCTTTGACTGTTTTGTCCTCATATTTCCTGCTAAGAGTTTACAAAACAGCATTATTGAACAGGCAGACAAGAAGCACACCTATTTGTTTAATAACATCAAGGGAGAAAAAGTTGCTGGCTCATCCGTTTTGTTGTTAAGTTGTTCAAAAGGATCAAAATACCAATTAACTTGCTTGCTTAGAAAATCTTTGATATCCTCAGATTTACTGACATTTTGAAATTCTTGTTCATACTTGCCTAATGTCTTTTTGATTATGAACAAAGAAGTGCCAATCTGTTTAGCATTTGACCTGTTTTCTCAAGCAAAATTTTTGTGTATTCAACTACTTAGTTCCTAAAAACACTTGACTAGTCATGGCTGTAAGTGGAAGAAAAATATTTTCTGTTCCACTGCTGTCTTTTTTATACATTGTTCATTATTTTTTTTCAAGAATATAATGGAATAGAATTTTAAAATGATGCATAAAAACTGAACAAAGGAGAAAGAATCACCTGCCTCACTTCATATTTGGGACTCAGTCAAAAGCCTTCTATGCTGGTGGGCAAACTGTAAATCACCTCACACGTCTCTTACATTGTCTTTCTTTTCTGAATGAATTACACCAGATTGGACTTAAAACTTGGGGACTATTAAAAAAGATGTTAAATACAAATTGCCCTTATCTGTAGGAATGGAAAGCTACAGTTACCATCGCTTTTTTTATCATTAATTTTCAAGGTTGTACTCAGGTTCCGTGCATTTTTAAACGAGAAAAATCTATTGATAGGAAGAGGCCTAATTTCTTCTCAATTTACATCAATTTCAGTGAAATTCATCTTTGTTCACTTGTGTGCAGATAAAATTTCAGGCTCTTCGTGATGTTGCAAAACATGTAAGCGATCAGAAAAATTAATCTTTTTGTTCAACCTGTCTGCTTTAAAATTTTATGACCTTACTAACATTAGTCACATAACTCACAAATTAAAGGTGGAGGGAAATTGTGTCTGAAAATTAAATGGCTTTGATGGACAAATGAACATTTAAGTTATCCTTCCTGGGATGCAAATCTCTTATGTATTTCTGTTACATATTCCTTTAGTATCTTAATATATTACAAATCAGAAAATTCAGTTTTTCAGAATGAATTGACTAAACTACAGTTTATTGGTCTACATCTGTCTGTGCAAGAATCACAGACACACAAACTCAAATGACTTATCTACAAACATGTACATTTTCTTAGTCCTTGTGCCAGAGGCCTATGGAACTCTGTCTTCTTTCTCAAAAACATAATCAGCTACTTCCATCTAGTATCATATGATTTTTTATTTTTTTTATTTTTCAGTAGATTCATTAACTCCGTACTCTCTGATCTCCAGTACAGGAGATAGCAATAAAGGGTCAATACAGCCATTTGCTACTTGTTCTTACTTTAAGGAATCAACTGCTTAATGGTACTGTTTCTATTTCATTACTGAATTACCAGCCTTACAGACTAGAAAAAAGTAAATAATACATAGAAAAATACTTAGCTCTAAAGGAAGCCATATAAAGACTGTATAAACAGATTGTCGCTATAAAGACAATTGCATTTCCTGAATCAGATTTGTAACTTCTTGATACACCAGATCCTTTCAGTAATCAAAATGGTATATAGTAGCCATGATAAGGGTTCAGGTCAACAGATATCTGATTATAATTCATGGTGAATCCAAGACACATGACCACAAGGAAGCTGTTAGGAGGAATATTCTAATTTGATAACTTTTGTGCACACAAATGTTTTTTTCCATTTACACCTGCATTTTACATCTCTTCATTATTAGGCTAATGTCAGTGTACAGAAATAAGCGATTGACATTCCTACTAACTAGTCTTGCTCAAGAGCAGAAACAGTTTTTTCAGTTGAATTTTCATACTTCCTGAGTTGATAAAAAAAATAAGGAAAGGTTGAGGGGGAAGATAAAAAGAGATGAAAGGTTTGTAAAATGGGAAAAAGGAGAGGCAAACATTCTTATATGTTATGTCTCTACATGGGAACTACCCCAGTAGTGACACAGATTTGAAATTATGCCTTACATTTTTCCAGTATGACTTCTCTACACACTAAAGGATGTAATAAATCAAATCTGGTATGTTATTCACAAAAATATTTTAAACCATTTTTTACAATGTTTTATGTTTGAAATCTGTATTGACGAAAAAATCTCTGGACTATTTCTAGCTTTTTTTTCCCGTTTTAATTAACGTTTTCAAGCTTGAAATTAATACTCTTCTCAGACAGTTGCTCTTTTTTTTTAACCGTTCTTTTATATCAGCTCTTTCTTAAGCATGTGGATCTTATTAAAATGAAGACCGACTGACCTTTCAAATCCTTGTATTGTCTGAGCATGATACCTATGCACATGTTGTACTGCTGCTGAAATCATAGGGATGATCTTGCTACTGAATACTAACTGCTCACTGCAGTTCTCCCTCTCCTTCTCTCGATCACTCTTGTAGCTTTTATCTGATAGTTACTGCTTTTATTAGAATAACACAGACCATACATGTACAAACCAATATTTTTAGAACTTCTCATACTTAAAGATACAATAGATTCTGTTGAATGGAACTTTAAAATGACAGTCATGCTATTGAAGTCTTACCTTTTCACAAACTCTTCAAAAAGGATGCGATGAGAATATCCTTTTCGACGTATTTTGACAGTTTCCAGAATTCCAGTGTATCGTAGCTGCAGTAGAACTCTCTCATGAGAAAATGTTAGTGCTTCTCGATTATCATTAGGTTTAATGCAGCGGATAAAGTGAGGCTGTCCAACAACCATTTTGGATAGAAGATCCATGAGGGAATACTAGTGAAGGAAAAAAGAGATACAGAGACTTGCCTAAAAAAACTGCAATTCAGTTATATAAGTAGGAAATACATTTTGTAAACAGTATGGAATGATTGATTACATGTTCATTTGTCGTGATAATGCTAATCGGTATTCAAGTTTTCATTTTTTTCAGCTTTTGGCTGAAATCCAGAATCTATTAAAAGCTTTTAACTGTCAAACACAAATTATAATTCTAGTTCTACTTACCCTATTCTCTTCATCTCTCCTTATATTACCTTCTTGTAGTTTAAGAAAGCTCATATTGAAATTTTGAATTGAAAAGTGTCCCAACTATAACTCTGTTACAGGCACATTTGATCAAACATTTATCCCCAAGAGGAGAATAAGCTTACTGTAAAACAATCATGTAAGAATCACAGAAAACCATGGAGATGGGGTTGAATGAAGCTACTGGTTTAGTACTTTGCACACAGAGAGCACTGAATGTGTCCATATAATTTCAGGCACATCTCTGAGGAATCTTTTCGTCAGAATCACTGCTACAGACTGCATATTCTCCCAGAGTAATCCACTGAAGTGTCACATTATTGTAACTACTCAGAATGTTCTTAGCATCTAGCCTGAATATTCCTGCTGAAACATGGGCCCATTACTTCTTGCCCTAACCAACCCAAACATTGAATACAGTTTATTTAATTGTATGAAAATATTTCTGCTTCATTCTTACCTCGTTATCCCACTGATCAGAATTTGCTGCAAATACACTCAATCTCAATGCTGCATACAATTCCAAGCTGACTGGATCTGAATGTGGTCACTTGGTTGTAAGCTGCATTCAGACAGCAGATGAGTATTTTCAGACTCACTATCTATTTATTTTTTTAGTCTCTTACTTTCCTCTTTGATCTAACAACTCCACATACATTTCAGAAATATCTGTTGTTCTTACAATCAGTATATTTGTTTACAGTTTAACTGCTGTACCCTAAAATAGGAAGCCATAGTTTGTCGCTTCATGTTAGTTGTTTCCTCAGGGTGTCGCATAACTTCCATTGTGTCAACCTAGAAGACAAAACTCAAATGTTAGATCTGTTGCAGAAACACTGCACAGCCACCCCATCTCATTCACAAGAGCTAGGCTTGATGTTTCTTCTGGTCATTCTCTCAGGTGACCACATTCCTAGCATCTTTGGGAAAGGTACACAATGAGGAGTCTGCCAGCCAGCAGTGATTCTCTCATTAGTATTTTTCACTGTAAAGTTGTTTGTGAGCTACATCATGGCTGTCATAAGCAGCAGTATCACTTTTTTATTTAATTATATGCCTTGAGACAGGTCAAGCAGTAAGCACACCACATTAAAAAACTGCATGTCATGTCTCCTTTTCTCTTTAAATTATGCCTCAATACGTATTTCATCAGGGAAGCAGCAATGTTCTTACTCTGTTTAACATCTTGGTGCTCTCAGTCGCTACACGAGACATGCTTGTGAGTGCAACTATTACACAAGGTAGCTAGTGACAGAGGATGGAAAAACACAAGCAATTTACAGATTCCTGCTTGGCCTCTGGAAATAGTGTGGACATTTACTTGACTTCAGTACTATCAGCTCCTGTCTAAATAGCTTGATATCTCAAACTCATTCACAAAGCAAGAAACTGTATTTCACCTGTGTCTTCCTATATATTAGGCCACTGTTGATGCCTTCATTTACTAGATCTTCCTAGACTGACACTTCTGATCGGGTTAGGTGACAATTTCATACTTTTTTCGTGATAATATGTTGTTAGGCCAATGGAGCAGTTGTCAAGATGCAATACCTTATGAAGCCTTCCTTACTTTTATCATCATTGCAATGAACTCCATTGGGTCTTACTTTCTCTATAATGTTACTATTTCTGTAATGACCTGGAAGAAAATTATTAAAAAAAACTGCCTCCTTTTGCTTACACATGGAAAAATGTTCTCGCAACATAACAAGTGGCAAACAGAGTAGGTAACCACAGAACATGCAAGTCTTTTCCTAACTACTGTTGTGTCTACTATTAATAACATTAAAATGCCATTTTGATGCCAAGGATTTCAGCAGTCTCACTCAGCTGAACTGCTGTTGCATCAAATACCACTTTTTCAGCATTTCTGCAGAGCTCACAAGGGTTATTTTTAGACAGTATACGCGGACAGCAAACACATTGCTTCTTGTGTATTTTACTTATATTGTCAGTACAGCTGTTCTTATCAACATGAAACTAGAATTTATGAATGAGTATAACCATGGTTATCATCACAAGCAGATTGTGTTGCTGTACTGCAACTCAACAAAATCAACCAGCATCCTGCTTGCATGGGGCATTAGCAACATTTTAGCATTCACTTGCTTTGTGGCAGTTTACCATCTGCTCTGACCAGGTGGCATTTGTATAAACCAGATAATGCCATTGTCAGCACCTGTGCTACACCTCCTGGACTTTGCTCCATATGATCATTTCCAAAGCTCACTGACTTAAGACCACTCTTCTGAACATTAACATAATTGCTGAAAGACTACAGTTTTCAATAAAGTAATTGTCTCTCTTACCTTCAGGAGATATTTAGGAGACTGCATGAAAAATACAAAGGAAATGAAGAGCTAAATAGTAATAGACCAAGAAAATGGATTTTGTATTGGAGAAGAAATCAAAAGAGAAAACTTGTGAAGACAAGATTCAGAATACAGATGGTGCAAAGGGAGACAGATTTCCACAAGGGTGACCACAACAATTTCAGCATGATTTTGCAATCTCTGATGCTCTTAGCCCTAAGTGGGGTGTATGCACTATTATGCATGAAGAAAAAAAGAGATGCAGTTGGACTTCAGTTTTAAGAACACCAACAGAAAACTCTGTAATATATCAAAAGATAAAAGCTTTATCAGCACAGATAACATCAAACACCTTAAGAGGTCATGTGAAAAATTGACAATCAGTGACCTAATCAGAATAGCAGGCATGTCCATGGGGAAGATTTTGGGAATGCTTCAAAATCATCTTGGCAAGACAACTGTTGTTTGAGCTTTGGTATCTAAAGCTCTCGTAAAGGTCAGGAGAAGACAACAACATTACCAGTGAATACTGACAGTAAGCCCATAATAAATGGTAACATTTATTAGAATTTATTAGAATTGTGTGTTAGAAGACAGACAATCACAAAGAACACCAACAGCAAAAGTAAATTGTCTGAGGACTGTACTAAAGCCCAATTACCCATGAATTTGAGCTTCTAAATTCGATTCTTGGCTGTCTAGAAAAGCATAGACACCAAATTAGAATTTTTTTGGAGTTTCAGTACTCATGAACTCTTAGTCACAATTTAATAACTACTGTCAAATGAAGGGTGAGCTAATACTCCACCTTTTGGGCAATACAACAACATTAGCATCCCCTTTTCACAGCTGCTTATTGTCACCAAACTGGTAGAATCTTATGATGCTTAAGACTGTAATTCTGTCAAATATGGTTTACTACAGCCTGCTTGGTTCGAAATGGGTTGTGTTTTGGTTTTGTGGAGGGAAGGGAGTAGGCACTCAGAAAAACAGATGGCCAAAAGCATTTGCAGAGAACAATGTAATACAACTTTTTTTTTTTTCCCAGAAAAACAGGCTAAAACCAGTGCTGTGAGATTCCTTTTCTTTGGAGATGTAAACTCAGATCTGTGCAATATGTAAGGGCTAGGGCCAACTTCAAAATCTTACCAACAAGAGACATTTGAAAGTATTTTTTTGATAAATTCTGAATCTGGGGAGATTTTGCTGTAAGAATTTTAGAAGTTTTCTCTCCAGTTAACTTATAACATTGAGAGTATATAAAGTTATGCAGATTTATGGGAGGGCAATAATCACACATACAGCAGACAATAGACATTATCATAACTGATAGAAAATAATATAATGATATCATTCTGTATTTTGAATTACTAGCTGCTTTTTTAAAACTAAAATGAAAAATATTCCAACTGTTATGTCACATTTTTACATTATAATAGTCATGGCGTACAATATACATTTATGTGATTACAGCTGAAATGAAAAACAGTTACCTTAAAAAGACAAACTGTTCTATCACTAAAAAAAGAAATATTAAATGAAATAAACTGCTTATAGTAGTTTTGAAGCAGTATTACAAGAATAATTTATGGTATCATGTCGCCTTATGAGGTCACTGCAAATTATCATTTTCACATGTTGATCACACCTGCTGTTAGCATGGTATGAAAGATGATAAAACCAGTAAATACACTAAGCAAAAAAGCTCATAAATTAAAATATAAACTCAAATTTCCACACTTCAAAATACAATTATTATTCTTTTGGAATCATTTTATTAACTGTAAAATAGTAATTTAAAATATATTTTTCTTGAAGTTGTCATAATTTCATAAAAATTTTAATTAAAGTGGTGGTTTTTTCAGCTAAAAAATTGTAACAGTTAATGTTTTCTGGATAGTATTGCATGTATTACGGATGTATTTTAGTTCCTTCTCTAAAAATGTGAAGGGCAAATGGTCTTAAACACTACTTAGTACGACTGAATGTGTTTATCAAAGCTTTAAAAGAGAAGTGCTGTATTTTATTCCAGCTGAAGCAATAAAATGCGTGCTTACAAAGCTTATGATGATATAGCTGGATGTGGAAGACAATGTTTGTATAATATTAAAAAAAATGGTAAGGTCATAATCTGTCCTTTAGGACTGGAAGTGTTTAAATCAGGAAGGAAATAAATCTCTTGAATCCAAGTCTCTATTTACAGGTACAGTAAAAGATACAGATGTCTGGGTGACTCATAAGAATTCTTGTATTTGAGCATGAGCTCCTTACGACAGGAGAGAATATAAAGAAGAAATGGAATGCACAAAACATACTTCTACAGACTTGTGAATAGCTGCTTTGATCAGTTACAACATTAACAAAAAAAATTGTTTGCTTTGAGGTAAAACAAAAAAAAAAGCAACCAACTGATCACATTTTAAGAAGACTAACTGAAGTCAGGAGGGAGCATGGATGTTATCAACTTGAGGTGCAAGAGTTTTCCTCACATACTAAAGTGAACTCAATTGGCTATTAACTGCAATAAAATCACCCCATTCTTTTGTAATTATGCCACATATTTTTATGGTAAAATCAAAAAGTGTTTATATTCCATGGTTCTTTTTACTTTATAAAGAATAGCAGTTTTGCTAAGTGGTTCTTTTCTGGTCATTTGTCAGTTATAAAGGCCCTTTGGTTTTTGAACTTTAGGTTGAACAGAAGAGGAATGGATCATTGTTCTGTTTTGCCTTCTGTTTGATTAAGCACACTAACCAAATTTTAGCTAATTAAATCTCTTTTTAGGCCAAAAATTGCCAGAAGAAAGTCTTGAACTCACTGAAATGAAGAGAAATGTTGCCATCATTATCAGTATAACTGAGATTTCATTACAAATGTTTAAAGATTAATCATTGGTAAATTGATTTTTCATTGGATTCCACAGAAAAGTCTTCAACAAAACTGGAAACAATGCTCCCAGCTAAGGTATGTTTATTTCTGATATTAAGGCATACTCATTTGGTAAGAGCTTCCACTATATATCTACATCAGCTAAGCATCACGCCCATAGTCTCACTGTAATATTTTATGAGAAACTACCCATCTTCAAGCAGAACACTACCAACCTTGATACGCCCAGCACTAAGCTGTGGAGGCAAAGACCTAGATGCTGCTGTCACTCTGGCTCTTGCCTGTGCCAAGTTACCTGTTCAAAAAGAAAGAAATGCATACTATAAAAATTGTTCAATAATCTTATCTGAGAAAACATGATATGGTTAAAAAAATCATACAATAGAAGTAAAAATAGCAGTTCCTACTACACTTCTTATATACCCTGCTCATTACCAACTTTGCAATGCTGAGTGTGGGCATGACGTGGAGTCCAGGGTTGATTTAAAAGAGAAGAAAAAGACACCAGTAAGGTGGCTCATTGCTGACCTCAACTACTGATCTGATGAAAACAACAGCACAGAAGTGTACAGATCAGTCAGTTGCAATCAATTTCCCTGTGACTCTTTCAGAGATTTAAAAGAGTAAAAGATAGCAGAAAGAGCCTTGTTTCCATAAAATCAGTGGATCCTGAAGTGTTTAGACATCATCTTAAGCTCACAAACTAAAGAAAGAGATGAGAAAATGATAAGATAGTATCTTTTCTTGACCTTTTGACATACAGCCTACTTAATCCCCAATCTTATTATCCCTTGGGGTTTTCAAAGACTGACTCAATTCCTCAGGCAAAAACATACTGGTGTCAACTGCAAAACGAGTGCCTTTTCTTTAGTTGTACAGTATGATGTATCTTAAACTTTTTCCACCGTACTTGTAAAAGGTCAGTCCTCATAAAATAGCTTTTCAAAATAAAGGCTCAGAGGAGAGAGGAAGTGATATGGGACTGTGCATATGCAAGACACTCTGTATATTTCAAAGTTTTAGCAAGTCTAGCACAAGATGTCCAAATGTTTTCTCTGGCTATATCTTCAGAGGCTAAACTGTGATTAATAGCATTGAAAGAACCCTTTGAAGCAGGATTGGTGACATCAAAGCCCTAATCCATGGGTGGCAGGATTTTTATAATGAGTGGGAAGCATTTTAACACATTTCAAAGGATTTACAGCATGAATAAACAATAGGCCTCTGCAGATGTACCACACACCTTTCAGAACCAGAACACATAAATAAGTGTCCATTTTAATTTAAATGTAAATAAAGTGTTAACACTTCTTTCAGATGCTAAGTGCCTTGTTTGCATCAACTCCAGTGTTTAGCTATTTGCTTCACAGAAAGCCAGTTACTCTAAACAGTCTTCGGTTTTGATAAACTATATATTACAGAACTAGTAGGGAAGCAGGATAGGGGAAAGAAAAAACGAGAACACTTAACTGCTGGTAGTTTTTTATACAGGAGAAGAGCATACACAAAGTGCACATAAGGGAAGGGAACTTTTGCTTGTCCCTGTAAGATTGGGAAATACCAATCTGCTGAGAAGAGTTTGGAGGCCAACCCTCAGAAACATAGCAATGACATTCTCCAGAGCAATTCAAACATTCTATATTCATTTTCAAAAGTATTTACCTCTTAAAATGCTGGAATTGTGATTGACACAGTGATGCAAAACTGCTATGTCATTTTCAGATTAAGAGTGTTGGTACCTGACAGTCTAAATCACAGTGCAGAATATCAGGAATGTCCATGATTTTGGAAAATGCTATAGTGTTCAGGTTAATGAGAACTACAATTTCATTCTGAACATCTTGTGTATGTATACAAATATGCATGCTTATAAATACTTGTGTTTTGAAAATGTTATATATGGATACATACAATCATGGTATACAAGGTGTACACATCTCTCTGTTGTTAAAATGAGGACTTCAATGTGGAAGTCATTGGTAAATTTATTTTTCTCTGTTCTGATTCTGATATTTTTATGTGTTCAAATTAGTCATTTTTGCCTTTTTATTATTACTAAAGCAGAAAGTCTGGAAAGGTTGTTTTTGGCTACTCTTGGGATCAGCAATTCAGGTTGTCTTTATGCTTGAAAGCATTGTACTGTAGAACTGATGACGCTATGTGGGTTAAAACAGTAGATTTGGGAGAATTAACAAAACTGAATCAGATTGTTTGAAATGACAAATGTTAAAATTTTGTTGCATTTTTAACAAGTTACAAAATTCTAATAACTAATTAAAATTTAGAATCATCAAGATTTACCACACTCGGAGCTGACATTAGGTTAATTACTACTGATTACTAATATCTCCAAGCTCTCCCTGAGCTTTTCACGCAGAACTAAAACTACATTTAACATTTCTGATCTAGAAAAACAGGGATTTTTTTTAAATTAATCACGTATATTTTGCACTTATGATTTCATTTTTCCTCTTGGCAAAAGTAAAGACTAAGCTAGGAATAAGACCAATACTTATTTATGGATTTTTTTCTGTTCTTACTTCATACGTCAAATTATCTCCATTGTAATTGTTAACTACTCAATTGTAGCACAGTTTGAAAGCCAGAGAAAAATGTTATCAGGGTTTTCTTTTCCAGATCAAACATAAAATGATGTTTCAGTAAAAGTTCATCTTAACTAGCTAATGTTCAGGAAAATGACTACCTGCAACTTGCCCAACCAATAAAACTAAGAACAAATGCGGCTAGAAAATTAGTTTACACAATAAGAGATTTTTACCCAGAATTAGAGTGATGTTTATAGTCAGTAAACATTCAGAGTACCTGTCCCTGCATTTGATTTTCATTTAAAAGGTCACTTATTATTTTACACACCAGAAATAGTAAAACGTTATTCCACTTTGTGAATAACATCAATATTTGAAGAACAAATATTTTTAGATAATATCATAGCCAGTTAAAAAAAGCTCCTTGCAAGGTTAAGCTGGTTAAAGGTTAAAAGACTGCACTGTGCCTGTCAGAATTCTGGCTTCACACACATTGTATGATCAGCACTTCAGACAAAACACAAGTGACAAGCTCATAGAGTTAAACAAAATACTACCCATGCTAGATCCAATGCTGAAAAAATGGACAAATTAAGAAACTTAAAACTCCCTCAGAATTTTCTGAGTTTTTTGTTTAGTTTTTAACTGGGACTGATCTTACTAATATGTACATGTTCAACTCTATTCACATGCATTTCCTTTTCAGTTTGGCTGGACTGCTTATCTGAACAATGAAGGTTCCTGCCTGTGTGTCTGCAGTGCCAGAGACAAAGGTTTCTGGGATTGATTTGTGTCAGTAGGGGAATCAGCCAGCCCCAACGTTTCTCTTTTTTCCCTGTCTGTATAATAAAGTTAGGAGCGTTGTTAGTGCTTCATGAATTTTCAGTCATCAGAGTCTGCGAAAGGCTCCAAGAAGCTTCCAACAGAAAGAAGCAGCAGTACAGAGTCTACCTAGTCACTGCTAAGCTCAGTGTCAATATACTGAAATAAATTTTGCCTTGAAACTGCAGAGGAAAACTCCTATTGCTTCAAATATATTCTCATTCCAGCTAGGTGAGAAAGATGTCAAAGAACCATATCCCTTCTGCTACACAAGCCCAAGCAGGAGAAGTTCTGAAAGTATGTCAAGTATTTACGTAGCACAGAATGAAGATGAGTTGCCTTTTTCAGGTTGGACTTTGGAAACACTCTCTAGATTTTAGAAAAGACAAGTCTGCATTCATGGATTTGCTCCTGCATCCCTAGCACTTACTATGTGATCTGGTAAAATTAGTGATTTCTCAAGCCATTGACTCTCCACACCAATCAGAAGTTCACTCTCTGGCTGGAGGTTCTGATGTTGCTTAACATTTGTTATTACTCCACTATTCTTAGGTGATGTTTTCTACAAGTAGTGTCAACCAAATATTACTAATATTAGCACTATAATTATAACTACATTTTGGTTATGCCTGCTATAGACCATTCTTCCCTTCCAAAGTAAAAGCATGCCAGGTAAGAATTACTGTATGCTTCGATACAACTTCTAGTTCGTGAAGTGCAAATGACTTACAGGGAGAGAATCAAGTGACAACGTCACCTTACAAGCTGTACAAGCTTGTAATATGGTACAAGCTGTACCATAGATACTACTATTATGGAGAGGGCACAGTACAAGCTCTTTCCTTATCCTCATATATTTTATTCATTTCATTCATGCTTTTGGTTCAGATAAAGAGGGGTTACCTGCAGATACAGTGTAATATGGTTGGAAATGCTACCATGCATTCATATTTCATTGACATTACTTCTAATCACTGCTAAGCACTTGCACTCCAGAAGAGGTGCAGAGTCAGACAAAGTGTGACACACAGAGATTCTTCTCTGTCTTTCAGTACATTTCATCTAGCCTAAGGAAGTTGACTGCTTATCTTCATAATGCATTTTCATGTCCTACTACAGTAAGACTAAGCTTTTCTTGGCTTGCCTCTAAGTGGATACATGTAATTTTTTTATTGGGTGATAATTTGAATCTGGTCACTGACTACCAAGACTATATTTTTGAGTTATAGAAGTGACTTAAGCTAACCTTGTGCAATAGAAAATTAAGAATCCATTTTTCTCTTATACTATATGTTTTACACAGGAATGTATTTATAAAAATACTATGCAATATATTGATCAATACATAGACACTGCCACTGCTGCTTATTCTGAAAACAGAATTTCTTTATTTCCCATTTCAAATGAGTAATTAAAGAATAAGAAATGGTATTTCCAAAATTGGATCCATATTACAAAAGAGAATCCAATAACCATGAAAATTTAGTAATAGCAAGGCCAGCCTAGGAATAACCCAACTAGAAGCAAAAAGATATTCAATTTTTTTGGCCATGATTGTTTGAAATGAAAAATCTACGCCATAGTGAACTGACAGCTTCTGATCACAAATCTCAAATCTCACTGCTAGCATGAAGTGGACATAGATCATATTTACAGTTACTTAAAAACTTTACATTGCTAGACTCCCTACTGCATACACTGCAGACACTTCAGTGGTCACTCCTCACTTCAATAAGGCAGCCACTGGCAAACACAACACAGTGTTTACTGCAGCAAATAAATCTGCTTGTAAGCATGATTCCTGTCTTGTTTAAATGTCATTTTAACACAGTAGGTTAGTAGGCTCCATGTAGAATGGGAGAGAATAAAGACGCTCCTGACAGCAGCTGAGATGAAATGAAGGTCAAACTGCCTACTTATATTCCAT